CAACAATATGCAATTGTTTGGCAGTAAATGCAGAGAGTAGTTGATTGGGCTGTGGTGCCTCAATTTTATCGAGAAGCGTCTGTTGGAACCGTGGGTACGAGTTGGATGGAGGAATAGTGTCACAACGCGATGGGGTCTTCGGCTAGCCACCGTACAGAGATGTTACCTTAAGTGTTCGTGATAACATAGCGGAGCAAATAGCAACAGAGGGCACTTGAACAGGAAAGAATGGAACTTCAAGGTGCGAGCACAGCGGCATAAAACGTGGATTTGTGAGCGGTGCATTTTCTACCTGCCTGCAAATGTGCTCTGAAAATGATCGGCGGGTGTGGGAGTCTGCGCAGCTCCGTTTCTGACTGGCTTATAGTCTTAGGCACTAAGGAAAATAAGGTCGTTTTAAAAATCCCCATTTGAGTGCTGTGCCGTAGACATCAATTGTATAGCGGCGTGGTTAGGGATAGTTGACTCATACGGAAATTAGTGCCCATATTTTAAACCTCTTTTCTGTATCAGATCCTACTTTGCATAAAACAGCTTCGAGGTAAGTGGGACTGATTGCTTCTGGAAGCCAAAATAAGAAAACCAATTCGGCATTACTCCACTCTATATCACCATTACTTAACCACACTGCTCCAATGAGACTACAAACTAGGCATTCAAACGCAGGTGTGGAGGAAGGATTTACGGAATATCGCACGGCTGCAGCTGGGCAAGATGCGTATCTTAATGTTGTGACTGGAATTTAAAGTTGTTCCTTCAGACAGGCAGGCGTGTCTACATTGAGGAAAGTGTGTTTAATGTGGTTGACATTTGCTTTTGGAAGGAACGTGGGTATGTCAACTTATGGTCATTCTCAGGTGAGCGCTTGTATTTCAACGTTCTCATCCTCATACTCGGGGACGGGTAAGAGAATGGCGTAAGTGAGTTGATAGGGTGCAATGCGTGGCCGTATAAACACTCCCACAAACAGGAAATGCTTCATGTCCATTCATCTCCTTTAGCTTTCATCAAAGATAGCTCAACACATTAATGCTATGCACAATGCTTACGAACTTTCGCTTCTTGAAGGTTATTTGCACACATTTACAGTATGCTGAAATGAGGCGGCATAAGTCTGCTTTCTATGAATTATTTCTAGCGCGCGCCTTTTGCAGATGATACCAGCTAAATTCAGCCTACCGTCTATACAATTTGCGTCTAAACTGCCAAGGGACAAGAAAGTGGGCGAAAAAGACATGTCAGATCCGTCCAATAGATATTTAAGGAATCTCTGACATCGTCACTGCATTAGTTGGAGCAGACATTTTCTGTGGCGCTGTAAGGCTTGAGAGACACTTAGCGTTCCCAATTGCGATGGGTAATAATTACGCAGATGAACTGGCTTAAACAAACCCTTTCTCCTCCGTCTGCAACTGTTCCAGATTCTTCATTACTGCTTGGTAAAGAGGAACGAGTTTGGGATGAGGTAATCGCGATGCTATTGAATTCCACTTCACAACAGTCTCCTCGAACGACATGGAATGGCGATCCAACGCCCACAAGTGCTTGTGCCTCAACAGGGAAATAGCCCGCTCTAATGAGCGAGGATCTTAAACGGTGTTGAACTGCCATGCTGACTTAATGAAATGAAGTTCATGACTTGTGTTCACCAGTTTTATTTCTTTTGAGTTGTTCCAAATGCTTTACTAGGACCGAAGCGCTCTGTATCAATGCAGAACTGTCATCTTCCTGCCGAACTACCACGATATTGTCAGCAAATTAATTTGGCGTGGGCTGACAACGGATTAGAAGCTAGTCAGACCGATTGAAGAAAGTAGGGCTCTAAGATATGAAAGCGAGCCTTTAAAGTCTCGTTTAGGCGAGAAGACATCGAGAGATATGTGTAAAAGCAGCTTTTATCCCTCCAGTGAATGAGTTCTATGTCGAAGAAAGGGCAAGTGAAGGGGCTGACGAGTTTGGAAGCACACGCGGACGTTCGAACAATAGCAGACAGCACGGGAGGACGGATTTATCATTCTATGACATTAAAGTTGTTATTCTTTTGGTGAGCAGGTGATCAAATCTTTGCTATTTAACCCTGATACATGTTTCGGTTGCTTTAATGCATGTTTATAGCCTCATTTTAACGCCTTTTGGCGTGTGATTGAAGGAAATCAGCTTGATGGGTCTACGAGGTTTACGAATAACAGTTGGTCGAAGGGTTTGGGTGAGTTAACACAAACGCAATAAGTATCACACTTCGCTGCAAATTTTGAAGACAAACATAACCTAACGGTCATGCTGAAGCAGCTAACGGGCTAAAGTTCTGCTAATATTGGTGGTGGGTGATGCGTCAAAACCATTTCCGTTTCTATTCCCTGTCTGTATGCAAATGGACTCAAAAGTTCGGCGAGGGCTTGGGAATTGCAAGAAACAATATGCAATTTGCAAGGCTTAGACGCTCTACAGTCGCTATCGTTCCCTACACCAACATCTGTTCGCAATTACTACCAAATTATTTGTTAAAACCCACTAAGAACTACAAACGAGGACTGAAACACCTGCGTGGTTCGATGATTGTCGTTAGTCGCAAGCATTCATATTACTCCTCTCGAGTTGATGAATTTGGAATCAGCCACAGGCTGTGCCTTCCGCTCCGATTAGCAGACGTCTGCTTATGGTCGCAGCCTAATGCGCCTTCACTGCGATTTGCTAGATCACCTCCTGCCGAAGAATGGGACGATCACAATCCAGCGACGCCTTCATTAAAGGCAAGACATAAAACCTGCGGTTGTAGATACGCTCATAACGTTTCCAACGGGCTAATTCAATCCCCCTCAAACGATAGTCCCAGTTGATAAACAGGCCTTCCGAATTGACCATGTAAGGAAGTGATTAAAAATGTCAGGCACTTCCTCGTCACCTGGAAGGGGCTTCATCTAAGTTCATAGGCTCACATTCTGCACAGCATTTTCTTAAGCAAGTCTGACCAACTCCTCACAATTCGCATTAGATTAGTGGAGTTGTGTGCGTTCCTGTTCTCCACAAACGCAGTTGAAATTCTCCTCTACAGTAGCGCCTGTCTTTAGGGCAAGCCAGATGATGCCCCGTTGGACTAGGACGGATATCTCCAATTCTTGCAATTGTCTCTTCCCGTCTACCATATAAAATTAGTCAACAAAATAATATCTGCCACACGAAGCCTAACTAAAGTGAGGAGACAAAGGATGTGGATGTAAAAAGGATGCCGCTGTTGCTTCGAAAAAAAGGAGCAACGCTACGTCAGCTTACGTGGTATGCGTTTTCCGAGGTAGTACAAGATCTGACGAAGCTGTGCCACCTCTAAAACAGGCCGTCGGTCAGAACAATGCTCTACAAATGTGCTTATCCAAAGCTCCTTTCTGCAGCTCCGGCTTCTCTCCACACGGAAGTTTTCTGCTATTTGCCCGAATATTTTCGGTCTCTGGGATTCATTTCTTTTAAAATGCACGTGGTAAGTGAATGGGCATACGCGAAATGTTCACAAACAATGGAAAACGAGATGACGTGATGTGACTGAGCGAGTACGACTATGTTAACTTCAGGTGGCTGATCCAAGGTACGATAGTGTGCACTGTGAACACTTAGACCTTTTAGGTGATATCACTGCACCGAAGCAACTATTTGCCATGAAAGAAAATGCCCTAAGCTCATATGGCAGCATTGCGAGTTTGAATTGAGATCGGATAGTATTTCGAGCCTTGAATGGCTTTAACCTTCCTCCTCTTTGTTGGTTTTACAGATCGAAGATGCACTATGTGGCTCCAGTAGAATGGGCCTCACCATGTAACATATGGAAAGGGGAGGGTTTGTACAACACAACCTGCTTACTGTGGAATAACTCCAGACAACAAGGCAATGCGAAGTTTCCGAAATCTCCTCAATACGATCATGTTTTAACTTTTATACATCTTTCATTAATGCAGCAGATTAGGCAGAAATTTCAAGAAGGTCAGCAGGGCATAAGAGATTATTCGTGGGCAAATGTGAGGATGTTTTCATATAAAGTGTTTGCGTCAAAGAATGCAGCATCGGCTAAAACAGTCGCCTGAAATGGGGCCGAGACTCAAAACATGTAGGCGTCTAGTCTGTGGATTACTGAAATGCGGATATAAACAATGAGACTAAATTTACCTACTCTACATCGGTCCTAACACAAATTTCAATGGATGTGCGCGATA